CCCCAACAAACACCACGTTTTATCAACAATGATCGAGTCACGCGAGTCCTCAATCGAATGCTCCACATTGCTCCGATCGACGCATGCATGCGTCGAGACGAATGGTCATCCCATCAACAGGCAGACACCTTCATTCCAAACACAGCACCATCACATTTCCAACACAATTCATCACAGGGTCATCACATTTCCAACACAATTCATCACAGGGTCATCACATTTCCAACACAAATCATCACATTTCCATCACAAATCGAATTTGATATCCAACATGAAGTCTTGTGTTCAGTTGTTTAACAACTGTTTACCAACACAGTTCAACGTGCCCTACGTAGTTCAACACATTATAAACAGATTACAAACTGTTTACCAACACTTTGTTCAACTGTTTGTCTTGTCACTTCATGTGCACGACACAATTCGCAAACGTTGGTTTCCTTGACTTCCAGTTGACCATGGTGCATTTGCCACGAAAAACAGATTATAAACAGTTTATTAACAGATGACAGAGGTCAAGGACCCGTGATAAAAAAAAAAAAAAAAAAAACAGCGACAATTTTTCTGTTGTGGGTTCTCTTCCCATTGCCGTCACTTTCAGTGGCCTGAGAAGGATTGGTGGCCACCGCCAGTCAGCACTGGTAACTCGCTGGAGCAAGTTGTGCCGCCCTGTAACCCATTGCAATGCGGGAGCATGGGGCCGAGTGGAAGTGGCTGCTCAGGTCCTGCTGCGGCCGGTCGGAACACACCCAATAAAAATAGCTCTCAGGTTGAGTTCTCAGTCAGAATCATCATAGCTGACATTTGTAATTACAAATTACGATGCTTATCAGGGTTGGGACCCTCAATCTCACAATATTTCCAGAGGGTTAAACCACCAGTACTTGGCCCAGCTATCGATGTCGAGCCTGGAATGCCCCTGCAAGCCGATTTTTGACGAAGCGTCGGGGTACTGTTTTGTTTCGTTTTTGGCTGGCGCTTCCAACCATTGTGGTCCGGTACCCCGAGGCCCTAAGGCCGCGGCGCGTTAACGTGGAAGCGCCATGGCCGATAGCTGGGCCAAGTACTGGTGGCTTAAGAAAACTCTTAACATACCTGTACAACATAAGCTCAATAAGGAAGTTCAATAAGTCATGATCATGACATATAATCTACAATAATAACTTCCATAATAAT